GCATCCCGTATTACTAGAGCTATCTGCTTTGTCTGGATCAACGTGACATTCATTAACTAGATACTGTGCAATATTAAGATGGCCTTTATATGAGGCAATGTGTAAACAAATAACACCATCATCATCACCTTGCGAAGGATCACAATGATAAACATCAATGAGGAGACAGAGGACATCAATGTGGCCACCATATGAAGCAGCTAATAGTGGGCTCCATCCATTTTTACCTCTTTCCTGAAGGCCAGTCTTGTCAATCAATCGTTGTACTTCATCTTTTAATCCTCTCCAACATGCTTCATTCAATGGAGTGCTGGTGTTCTCATACCAGAGAGGATCATAAATATCTATATAATTTATCATAAATAAAGTTAATAATAATAATAATTACCAATAGGAGAATCATGAAGCTTCTTTAATTCATTTTTTGGCAGCTATAAATATATTAAAATAATATTAATTAATTTTAAGTAATTATTAACATACCTGCTTCATTTCATGTACATATTCATGACAAGTAATTTTTATGATTCCGATCTTAGCCAGTGAATGACACTGTTGATTGGTTAATGGAAAGAGAACAGAATAAAGAAAATCAGGAATCGAATATTTTAATTCCATGCAGCCATCGTCAATCGTACAAAAGTAGAATTTATATTGAGGAACTTCAAGTGCATCAGCGATTAGCTTGTGAAAGAAATATAAATCATTTAATGTGTAGTCGTCTCTGGCAACCTTAGCAATCATTACTTTAGTGCCTGGAACATCAGAAAGACCAAACTCAATTGAGTCTGCGATTTGAACTGCTGGAGTATTGTTATTTTTAAAATAATCTTTTAGTTTCTCACGATATGTAGACCACTTCCTCTGTAAATCTCTCTCATCAGTAATGAAAGTATTGACTAACTTGACGACAAGTTCAAAATTGAACCATGAGACATATTTTCTTAATGCTTTAAACAGCTGATTCATTGTCTTAACATGGTCAAACTCTTTTTCAATTGGCTCAATCGTTTGGGGTTTACGTAAACATGGACTAAGTAAAAGTGCGATAAAATCTTGAATGAAATCAACAACTTCTGAGACATCAATGGAACAAAAAGAGTTCTTAGTAAGATGCATATTATCAAAGTAAACTTCTTGTAGATCTCCAACCATTTGTTTCAGGTTTTCTGGTGAATATTCATTGACAATCAATTTCTTCTTAACGTAAACAACTGAAGACTCAGATTGAGGTGAAGTAGGAACTGGTAGCTCAACAGTTGGAGTAGCTTCTAAAATAATAAGTAAAAAATAATAATCATATTATACTTACCTTTAGAAGATGAAGTATGAACTGGTGATGTAGTAGCCTCTCCACTACTAGTAAGATTAAATTCTTTTGCTATTTCATCAGCTAGAGCAGGATCAGCTCCTCCACTATTACTTTTAATGGAGTTACACAGCATTCTTAATGTAGGGACACCATGACTCTTATAGTCATAGTCCTTCTTTAACCAGCAATCAAATACTTTCTGTAGACAACCTCTGGCTGTCTTTGTCTCTGATTCAATCTCATACAACTTGTTGTAGCTGATTCCTAACAGAATACCAATAGAGTCCCAGCGTCCTGAAAGAACACCAGCTTTTTCCCATACCAGTCTAAAATCATTAATATCTATCATTAATAATA